GGGACAGTTCGGATCCAAAGGAAAAAGGCAATGTTCCAGAAGCAGATTTGGACAGCCGACCATTGGGGAGCGGCGGAAGCATTTTGATAGGTATGATTGCAAGAAGCATAGCGTTGGCATGCTGCTGCAGTGGTGGTGTTGCAGGAAAGCCAACGGCAGACAATTGGAGGCGTGGGGAGTGCCCAGTTTTTGATATAAACATAATTCTGTCAAAAGGCATGGCCTACTACTAAATAAAACACAAAAGGATTCCTCATTCCAGCAGGCTATATACAAAAGCAAAATTTTTCAAGTGCAGGATTTGAACCTACGCGCTCAGAGAGCATGAGATTTCAAGTCTCACTCCTTAACCACTCGGACAACTTGAACTCCGGTTAGTGTCTCGTATGAAACTCAATAACATGATAATTCCAAAAAGGAAATATTTACGCGAGTATATTTTTTATTTAGCGTTGCATAGTTATCAGCGTTTTGGGGGGGGGGGGGGGGGTTTTTAAAATATTTGTGCCAGTCGTTGCTTGTGTAGTGGACCGTCCCGGCGTACAGGCGTACACGTAAATAAATGGTTTACTATTAGTTGAAAATTTAAATAAGGGTGTTCTGTAACTCACGTCACATCTACTGATCAGAGTGTACATAACTGTGTCCTGCAGTTTTAATACTATACTGGAAAGCCAGGATATATAGTGACTTAGGGCGGCCATTATGGGGACATGGGGCGGCCATTGTTGTCCTTGGCCTTGGCCTTAATTCCAATCGAAAATTTCACGAACTTATATTAATTTATTGCGCCTCTGTGTTCTTTCTGCTGTTCCGACATACCTTCCTGGAAGTCTCTTCATTATACTTGTCCTTTGGGTGCTATGTACACTCCTAAACTGACGATATTCCCATCTTATCACGTTCCTTCTGTATATCTCCGATATCGTCGTCATTAAGATCACTATCACTATCGCGTGACGCATTTTCCTCTGCATCAGGTACATAAGCTTCTGCACGTGTGACAGGTCAAAACTGATTGCCATGATCACGCAGAGAGTGCCGCTTGTTCATCCCACCACTCAGATGCTTAAACGTCTCTTTAATAATACTTCAAAAGCTTATGTATACGAACATGATCAAGACTACTTGTGACTGGCACAAACATTCAGATACCGTTTTAGACATGAGGGAACAATCAATTCAAACTTCTGACACATAGATTGATCTCATAAATGGCCCAGCATGTCGATTACTGGCCTCAAAAGTTGAAATTTCGTACTGAAAGTGCCTTTTAAATGGTGAGCGGGCAATAATCAGAATCGAGTCTCGAACCAAATACAATTCCCACAATTTGTCCGGGTGATATTCTTGCTTAATTAAAGGTCATTCTAAGCATTTTCCGCTATCAAAGTCTGGAATCGAGTCTATATTTGAAGTTCCACCCCTGTCACTGGAAGAAAGGGCAGCTTAGCACAACATCTTTAAGCGATTGCACCATAGCCCAAGATTTTTCTTCTAAATTTACACACACACACAA